GAGAGAGAGAGAGAGAGAGAGAGAGCATTCAATGCTAAATTGACTCTGTTTCTTTGCTAAATTATATGATAGTCTGATTATTAGCAAAGGCATTTGGGCTAAAATTCCATGACAATAACAATGTTTCTTATATAAAAAATTTTATAGAAACAACAGTAACAAAAAAAACCTATCCCCCAAATTTTTCCATCTGTGTATGTTTCAGTGGAAAGACACCCAGAAGAACTCTTTGCCACTCGGTTACATGAATTACATAAATGTTAAGTCAATTTGTCAATCCATTCTGGAAATGACTTGGAATGTCTTGATCTTAGTCTGTCTTCTAAAGTCCCAGATCAGTGATAAACTGAGCTATATTTAAGAAGTTGATATAACTATCTTACAATCAATTTTTAATTCTGTCATAGTTTTATATCCTTTTTTGGCAATAGGGTTTCTCTAGGTTATTCAGGCTGGCCTCGAACTCACAGCAATCCTCCTGGCTCAGCCTCCCAAGTGCTAAGATTACAGGTGCGAGCCATCACATCTGGCAGTTTTATACCATTCTTATCCACTAATAATTCTCTTTTAACTGCCACCTTCAATATTCCAAGCACCTAAATAAAAATTCACTGCCATCAAAATCCATCAAAACCAGAGAATGGTACTAAGAAATTTTAAAAGGCATGTTTACTTGGACACCTTTCTTCTCCACTTTCTGCATATCAATCACTTCTCTTTTTAGGACCTTGTGCTTGCCAGGCAGACGTGGTGCCACTGAGCTACATCCCCAGCCCTCAATCACTTCTTTTTTTTTTTTCCTCAATCACTTCTTAATACTTATTCATTAGAAGCTAAACATCAACTCTGATCAGCTCTAGAGCTCATACATTTAAAATGTTACACCTTTTTAAAGTATACAAAATTGCTGGGCATGGTAGCACACATCTGTAATCCCAGCACTAGGGAAGCTGAGGCAGGAGGATCATGGTGAGTTTGAGGCCAGCCTAGGCTACAAAGTGAGTTCAACGCCAGCCTGAACTACATAGCAAGACCCTGTCTCAAATAAAAAAGGTGTACAAAATAAATATAGACTAGGAATTTTACTAATATTTCAGACATATATAGGAAGTTTCTGGATCCTTAAAATATAAAATATAATAAAAACATAAAAATCATAAGAACAATTAAAATAACATGATAGGAACATAAAATAAGAATGTGTTGTTTTAATGTAAAAAGCTCTAGTATCTACTCACAACCAGTGTCTTTGAGGCGGTTGATGGCATTGGAAAGAAGACGAACACAACCAAGAAATCCAGCACCTTGTTTTTTATGGATCTTCTTGTGATTCCATACACTGATTGTAACTGAATCAGACTTTCCAATATACCTAAAAACCAAAATGGCTACATGAATAACTTAACAGTATAAAATTTTTCTTCTTATATATTCTAAAGTCACAAATATTTTTCAGAGTATAGCTAGAACATGCAAAATATATTTTGAGTTCAATCAATCCATATGACTGAACTTGAATTTTTAGAAGTTTTAAAATACCTAACAATGATTTTTAATATATCCTTATCACATCTGCCACTGTCAGACTGGGCAAAAATTCTTGTTAGTTAAAAAAAAACTCTTCCTGTAGTTTGTGTCTAATAACACTAAGGGAGATTATAATGATTACTTCTTTCCAAGAACAAAAATCCTAAAAGAACTTTTATTATGGTCACATTTTAAGTACATTTCAATGACATGACCTACTTCAGGGAAGATTTAGTTTATTTGCAAGGGGCATGGTCAAGGCTGACAGACCAAAAATCTGACCTACCTGTTATATTTTTTAATGCTGTAGAACAAAAGCTGTTTGTAACGCTTTTCCCCTGCTTCTTTCCTGCATGCAGGCCTTGAGAGAACAGGACTCTTGCAGATTTCACTTCACTGCCTGCAGACAAGCAGAGCAGGGGAAAGCGTTACTGTACTTGTCTGTACACATGCCTGCCAACTGTTAACATGGCATCAACCCATGGATAAACATGTAACCTATCAGTGGAACCTAACTCTATTCCAATGACTCTAAGAGGTCAAATTTTTGGTCCAGCAACCTTGATCTTAAAAGTATCATTCAACAAAAGAAAAATATCAGAAAAATTCACCTAGTATATATAAAAGCCTAAGCCCCCAGAGTGAGGGCTAAAACTTCTAAATAAAGAGCATGAAAGGGGCACAGGAGTCCCTGAATCCAGTTGTGCCTAAAGAATGGCTACCTTTGAGGTTTTAATTATGTAAGTTGATATATTCTTTTTGTTAAATTAAGCCAATTTGAATTTGGTTTCTGTTGCTTACAAATGAAAAGATCTAAACTAAAATATCATTCAGAATACATACATCAATTTTCAGTTACACCTACCAGAGGTATCTTGGTATGTACCTACTGCGTGCTATTAATTCCAGAACTAGGATCAAGTATTAAAGAGGCAAATTACCCCAAACCAAACATTAAAAAAAATAAATACAGACACTCCATGTTTAAAAATTAAGTTGTGATTCTGTGGCTAAGTCATTAAATGAATTGGTCACTAAATAAGGAATTGTATATAGTATGTACATTACAATACTTAGAACAAAGAAATGGTCAAAGGAAACCAACTTGATGACTTTGCTTTCATAACTCTTATATGTAGTACTCTCATGTAGAACAGGTCAGAAAACTACAGTACTGTAATGGACAGTACAATCAGTAAAATTACAATGGTGCATAAACAAGGTGTACTATATAAAAAAAGACCTAGGGTCTATAAATAAGATGTACAGAACTGTACAGAAAAAAAAAAGAAAGGGCTGGGAGTTTAGCTCAGTGATTTGAGCGCCTGCCTCACAAATGCAAGGTCCCAAGTTCGATCCCCGGTACTAAAAAAAAAAAAAGAAAGAAAGGTCATAGGTCTGAACATCCATTAAATGAGTAATATCTGTAAATCACATTAAATCAGGTTCCCAATTAATATGCCTGGTTTGTAGATGCGCTGAAATATCGACTCTCAAGGCCTCACGGCAGCCCACTACTGGCTCAAACTCCATTCGTTCACTGCAGTGCACCATCAGATTTTCTATGTGTACCATGATGTGAAAAGGCTGGAAAGCACTAAACTGCACTAAACATTTACTGATTATAGACTGTCTGAAAATTAATTCATGAATTACTAGAAATTATTAATTGTGTTGTATTATTTAAGTTGCATATCACAAACATTCTGTTCAGGGCTGGGGATTTGGCAGTGGTTCCGGCGCCTGCCTCAAAAGTGCAAGGTCCTGAGTTTGATCCCCAGTACCACAAAAAAAAAAAAAAATTAAAACAAACATTCTGTTCAAAAACTCCTGGGTCAGGAATTAATCAGAAATATTATCATTTCTTACACCTAGAAAAGTATCTCTTCTCATTTTAAGGAAACTTCATGTAACATAACACACATGCCAACAAAAAAGAAAAAGATAAATCTTTTTAAAATTGAAAGTTAAACAGAGTGCTCTAGTTAGGTCCTATTAAAAACTTCATCAACAATATGATTTATAAACAAGTTTCAGTATATTGCATCATGAAGGCTACCTCTACCGAAGAATACAGTATTATCATACAGAAAAAAAAAAATGAGACATGTGCCCAGGAATGGGGCTGAATGCCTGTAATCCCAGCACTTGAGAGGCTGAGGCAGGAGGATTGCTGTGAGTTGAAGGTCAGCCTGGGCTACATAGTGAGTTCAAGGCCACCCTAAACTACATAGTAAAACCCTTTCTCAAAAAACAAAACAAAACAAAACAAAACAAAAAAATACACACACACACACTCTCAAGATTTCTGGCTAAAATATAATTATTAAATTTTGTAGCTTTAGTCAATTTAAAATTTGCACAAATAATCCAAAGTATTCCCTTGATCTTTTCCCTACCACCTTGAAACAAGCAAGAGAAAAAGGTTGATAGACAGCCAATTAATATTAACTATAAATTAAAATCTAACAAGCATGAAAAAATGTTCAACATCATTAGGCATTAGGGCAATGTAGATCAAAACCACAATGAGGTACCAATTCATAACCACCAGAATGGCTATAATTTTTTAAAAGGAAAACAACAAGATTTAGCAAGAGAGGAATAGAGACAATACCCTAAAATGTTCCATCTAGAAAACAATCATGAAACTGCCATCAGCAACACAGTAAAACTGCCATCAGCAACACAGTAAACCTGCTCTGTCCAGAACAATAGCCACCAACCACATAAAACTATTATTTCCAATGTGTCTGATCCAGAAGGAGGTGAGCTCTACATATAAAATAACCCTGATTTCAAAGACTTAGTATATGATGAAAGAGTTCAATATTTTATACAGATTACTGCTGAAATGACAATATTTTAGATATACCAAATTGAATTAAATTAAATATATTATTACACTTAATTTCACCTGTTTATATTTTTCAAATGTGGCAACTGAAAATTTTAAAATTAAAGGTATCTTCCAATCTGTGGCTCCGATTTTTTTTTTTTTGGTACTGGGGATCGAACTCAGGACCTTGTGCTTTCGAGGCAGGCAGCGGAACCACTGAGCTAAATCCCTGGCCCAGATTTTTTTTTTTTTTTTTTTTTTTTTTTAGTACTAGGGGTTGAACCCAGGTCCTCCATACTGAACTACATTCTAGCCTCTTTTGAATTTTTTATTTTGAGACAGTCTCACTAAGTTACTAAGTTGCCTGGTCTGGGCTCAAACTTTAGATCTTCCAGCCTTCCTAAGCCTCTCAGAGGGCAGGAATTATAGGCATGTGCCAAGACTCCCAGCTTATATTTCTACTGATGCTTATGTAGACCTAGAATATAATAAGGCAATGTACTTAAAACTTGGGGAGAAAGTGATGTTTCATTTTAAAGTCTCTACTCAAACTATCTCTCAAGTAAAAATACAAAATATAGGGCCAGGGATTTAGCTCAGTGGTTCCGCCACCTGCTTCGCAAGCGCAAGGACCCGAGTTCGATCCCCAGTACCAAAAAAAAAAAAAAAAAAAAGAATACAAAATATATTTTTAGATAAGACCTCAAAAAATGTTTTCCATCTTTCTACTCTTTCTCAAAATGACAATGGAGGTTAAACTTCATAGAAAAAGAAGTAGTAGTATTGTTACTGGACCTACAAGAGACAAAGGGAGTTCCTAACCCAATGGTAAAGGCAAGTCCCAGGAAGACTACAAAGCAAATCCATCAGGCCAAACCGGAGCAAGAAAGCACAGGCTTTAGGAGGGATGTCTCCAAGAAGAAAAGGCCAAAGGGATACCTGACAAGACTGAACATATGGAGAGAATATATGAGAGTTCCATAAGAGAGTTGGGAATTAATGAGATGAACAGAAAGCCAAACAAATAAATGGTAGGCATAACTTCAAAAACAACAGTTGTGTCAAAAAGAAAAAAGTAATTCCTGGGTACCACATAATCAATCTATCACTGAATACTTTTATAATCATAGTCATATAAACATGGAGTAACGATTTAACTAAAAAAGTTAATTTATCTGAAGGGCTGGGAGAAAAGAAGGGGCATGGAAGTGAGTGTTCTAGGGCTGGGGGGGTCAGGGGTACTAATTTTAAAAGCTGAATCATCTTCTCAGGTAGGAAATTTTAAAATATCTAAAACTAAAAAAAAAATTGAAGTGATATAAAATTAGCAAGATATCTATAAACAGAAGAAATACCTGAATAAACAGTCAAACCTAGTAAAGAAGTTATCTTTTTTTTTTTTTTTTTTTGGTACCAGGGGATTGAATTCAGGACCTTGCACTTACGAGGCAGGCACCGTGCCACTTGCGCTCATGAGGCAGGCACTGTGCCACTGAGCTAAATCCCCGGCTAAAGAAGTTATCTTGAAAATAGGAATTAGGAGAGTGATTAGGATGGTGAGAGTGATTAGGGTGGTGATTCTGTTTACCTTATAGTACTACTCACCTTTATAAAAGGTTCATATATTACTATGACTAAAATATAAAGACAGAAACCATCTACATAGAAGCAATTCTGATTTTTAGTTTTACACTAGTAACTGACATAAAGTGAATTAGTCTTTATTTCACTGGAAAGAGAGTAGGACTGCTCTATACTGTGAACCAGTTTAATTTTGTTCTTAGAACCACTTTCCAAAGCCAGGGATCAATAACCACTATACCTTTCCACTGGGTTCTGTATCCCTTCTGTGAAGACCAAATTATACCACAGATAATTTTCTGAAATTCTTTTCAGAGACTGTATCAAATAATATTAATTCTATGTTTGATCTCAAATTAATCATTTAAACCTACAGGTCATAATGTTGATTCCATTTTGGATCGAGTGTATTCTTCACAGTATCTGTAGAATGGCATTGTCCAGATCCATCAACCACTACCTTAGCAAATGGATCAGGAAGTCCTGTGGAAAAAAAAAGGGGGAGATTTTCTTTTTTTAGTTAAAGAATATTTTGACATGTAAGATAGATTACATAAAGATTACCATTTGTTACAAAAATTATCCCATTCTTTACTTCTTTTTAAAAAGCTGAACATTTAATTATAAATGAAAAGTGGTCTATTTTAAACCAAGTATTAAAGTCATTTCCACAGTAAATACTAAAAGAGTATTATTGTTCCTGCCACAAAATATTCTCAGTTTAAAAGTTACTTCATACTGTAGAGGTTTTTAAGGATTGTGACCAGTCCTATGACCTCAGAAAGATGAACACTTAAAACATTCATGGTACTCTCTTCTCAAATGGCTTCCTTAATAGCTCATTTTAAAAGGTGTGTTTCCTTGTTTTTCTTTTCTTTTGTCTCCCACACACACACACCCACACACACAAAGGGTCTCACTACAAAGTTCAGGCTGGCCGTGAACTCACTATGTAACCCAGGCTGAGCCCAAACTTTTGGCGATCCTCCTGCCTCAGCCTCCCAAATGCTGGGATTACAGTCAGGCACCACCACGCCCAGCTTCCTAAAGAGCTTATTAAACGTAGATTTTCACATAAAACATGGACTATGTCTATGCACATGTACTAGCTCCCCATGATCAATGCAACCATCATGCACTACAAACATATACTACTAAAAATTAAACTTAAAAAATAGGCTACAGAGAAATCAAATTAGCCAACAAATTTTTTTTAGTAACCTCCATGAATGCTGAGAGGCTGAACCAAAAATGTAATACTCTGCCATAAAAGCACTTGCTATTTGTTATGGTTTAGATCTGGACTGTCCCCCAAAAGCTTCATATATTCGGAAAGCGATTGGATCATGGGGGCACTACACTCATGAGTAGATTATTTCACTGATGCATTCATGGTTGACTTGCTGTTAGGAGGTAGGGCCTGGCAGTCACTGGGGGCGTGACCTGGAAGGGTATTTCTCCCTCGCAGGTTCCTCCCTTTTCTCTCTCTGCTTCTTGGTCACCACGGCAAGAGCAGCTTTCCTTTGTCAGAATTTTCCTCCACACTGTTTCTGCTTCAGAGCCAGCTGACTAGGGACTGTAACTGTAAGCCAAAATAAACCTCTCCTCTAAATTGCAGGTGTTGGATATTTTGTCCTAGTGACAAGGAAAGTGATTAAGACACTGTCTAGTTGGGGAGATTATGGCCCAGGGAAGAGGCAGACTGAGAACAAACAATGCTTGGCTGTACTGATCAAAACAGCAAGCACTTAAAAACACTACATAGAGTACTATTTCACATATATCCTTCATCCTCACAATGACCCTATGAGGTAGATACTGCCATTAGCCTCATTTTACTGATAAGGAAACTGAGGTACAAAGGGGTTAATTAGCCTAAGGTCACACATTAGTAAGTGGCAAAACCAGGGTCTAAAGTTTAGATTCTAAACTCAAGTACATGCTGCCTAGTTCTAGACATCACGTTCCCAACAATTATGCTGGATACCTCCCATTTGCATACTATGTGGTTCAACGGTAAATATATGAGCTAAGAAAACCACAAGAACAGTTTGAACAGTAAGGAAAAAAAAAGTATGATGGGACACATCTGGGGTTTAAAGGACAAACAGATAAAGGAAAACTCGTAGCAACAGAAGAGTACCAAAGAGACTAGGACAATATTTGAAGGGCATTGGAGAAACTAACCAAAGTGTTTGTAATAAAGTATAAAATTAAATACTGCTAGAGAGATAAGACTGAGGCTTAGAAGTTCAGAAAATAAGTTTGGAATGATTGAGGTAAATCTCAGGAAGCCATTACAGGTTCTGAAGCATGGATTTAAATACAGTCATGTTTTTCTAGTAGTGGTATTCAGGATAGACTAGAAGAAAAGGCTACCAGCAGAGAGACCACTATAAAACTGTTACCATTTTATCTTGTGTCTGGATGTCCCCCTAAAAGCCTCATGGGGTCATAGGTGGGGCTTTTTCAGAGGTGGCCAGATCTACAGCATATGATGCTGGGATTAAGAGTGTGATCACTAAATCAGTCCACTGATTGGTTTGGCATAGTTCTGGGCAGGATTAAGGGTGCCCCATAGCAGGTATGAGTGCTATCCACCCTAAGGGCAGGTGGCCTTGACAAAATATAAAGGACAGAAAAAGAGTTAGTGTGGTAACTTGCTTGTTGCTTGTCACTTGTTGCTTGCTGCCTTCTGCCTGCCATGAACTGTTTCTCCTCTGTGATGCCCATCTGCCATGCCACCCTGCCTTGGAGCCAGCCAACTATGAACTGAAATCTCTATAAACTGTAAGCTAGCCCTTTCCTTCTTTAACATCTGGTGTCAGGTATTTTTCCTCAGCAAGGAGAAAAGTAGTTAAGACAGTTGCATAATCCAAAGGTAGGATGAGAAGACAAGGAATGAGAGAAGTCATATCAAAAGGGAAAGGAAATGACAAGAGAGCCACTGTGAAAGGTTTAATACAGATTAATAAGAAACCAATGTCAAAAATGACACAACAGTTTTTTCCTGCCCAAAGCAATAGTGGTCCTTTTTGTTTGTTTTTTGATTTAGCCTACCTCGTAAGTGCATGGTCCTGAGTTCGATCACCAGTACCCCCCCAAAAAAAACCCCCAAAAAACTGGTATTTGCAAACTCTTTTCTTAAATATTTTCTAGAAATCTAATAGTATGCACAACTTTCATATCCATTACATGTATCTGCATTTACACACCTGCATACACACACATTCATGTAAATACAGAGGACGGATAAAGGGAAAGAAAGCTAAAAAAGCATCAAATCTCCCAGAAAAATGTAATGTCAAAAGCATTCATAAAATAACAGAGTATATTTCTGAATTTAGAAATCCCTAAACCTGACACTTCTGAAAATGTTATCCAAAAAACTACCAGGATATACAAGATTTATATTTAAAATTAATTTACTTACGGAAAAAATCCTTCTTCACCAAGTTTTTTGCACAGAGTACTGTAAAAGAAACAAAAAACACATGGGAAAAATTAAAATAAAAGAATTAAGATGTCACCGCTTCATTATAAACCATTGAAAACAGCATGGATAATTAAGTCTTAACTATAGAGCAAGGTATGACATTTGATCATGAACTTTGATTATAGACCAACCAGCAAACAAAAGACAGCTGAAATCAATGGTGGCAACTTTAGCAATGATTATTAGTAACAGCTGATAGCAAGAAAAGTGTATAAATCTGATTCTAACCAGGACCCAATCAATTCCTATCTACCTACCATTAAGATCTAAGAGAAACCAAGTAGCAGCAGGAAAAATAGTTCTGAGGAGAGGATGTGTAAATTGAGGTTGTCTCTTTTAGGGATGAAATGATTTTATGCCGAAAAGGATCAAAAGTAAGATAAAGCTTTCCTGATATAGATGAGGTTTTTAAAAAAAATATTTTGTGCTCTACCTAAATGCCATGGAAACTTTACAGAAAGATATATTACCTTCCCTTAAATCATCACCTCAATGGTAAAATGGCTACCACTGTATCCTTTCAAAAGTTAGAGATCCTCTCATCGTATTAAAAAGCTTCTGCACTGCAAGAGAAACTACCAACAGAGCTAAGAGACAACCTATAATGTGGGAAGAAATATTTAGCAGCTGTAACTCAGACATAGGTCTACTATCAAGAATATATAAAGAACTGAAAAAAATCAGATCCCCCAAATTCAAAGACCCAATTCAAAAATGGGCATCCAAAATGAACAGACATTTCTCAGACAAAGAAATAAAAACAGCAAGTAAATATATGAAAAAATGTTCAACATCACTGGTTATTCGAGAGATGCAGATGAAAACAACACTGAGATTCCACCTCACCCCAGAAAGAATGGCTGCTATCAAGAAATCAACCAATAACAAATGCTGGCGGGGTTGTGGAGAGAAAGGAACCCTTCTCCATTGTTGGTGGGAATGTAGATTGGTACAACCACTGTGGAAATCAGTATGGCAATACCTCAAAGAACTAGGACTAGAGGTCCCATTTGACCCAGCTATTCCCCTGCTGGGAATCTTCTCCAAAGAATTAAAAGAATCATACCACAGCAATGTATGTGCACCTATGTTTATAGCGGCACAATTTGTAATAGCTAAAGCTTGGAAACAGCCCAAATGCCCATCGACTGGAAACTGGATAAAGAAGATGTGGTTTCTTTATAAAATGGAGTACTACTCAGCCATAAAGAATGAGAAACTAGAGACATTTATAGCTAAATGGATGCATATTGAGGCCATCCTCTTAAGTGAAATAAATAGGATGCACATGTGTAAATACCGAATAGTTTCTCTAGTGTGAGAAATTGAAAGTGTAAATAAGGGTGAAAATGATTAAAATGAATAATTGATAATTTGAAATAAGAAAAGGTCCAAGGGTTTGGGGATGGTGGAAGGGAAGGGGAAAGGGAAGAATGGAGAGAAAAAAATTATGAGAAAAAAAAATGGAATCAAACTCTGTGTAGACAGGGAAGGGTGGAGGGGGTGAAGGGTGCACAGGTAATGGGAGAAAAAATAAAAACTAAGATGCATCATGTTCTGGTACAAACACCCAATGATAAATGTAAATGTATTTTATACCTAAAATGTACCAATAAATATATATATTTAAAAAGTTAGACATCACAAATCTGAGTTACCTTGCACTAATTTACCTAAGTAAATTATTACTTACATGGATGTATGCACAACTTGTGGTTATACTAAAAAACACTGAAAAAAAAAAAGACTACTAAAAAACCACTAAATAACCCACTTTAAAAGGATACATTTTATAGTATGTAAATACATTTCATTTCTAAAATTATGACTTACATAGAATCATAAACTTCCTCAATCTTGGTAAATGAAGGAAAATAAATTTTCATATATTTATGATTAAATCTATAAAATAATGAATGTAATGTTTGGCTAACATTTCTCAGTTTTAATGGTCTAATTTGTTACAATTATTGGGAGTTTCGTGTATAAAAATTCATTTAACAAACTTAGGAATAAATTTAGATACAATTAATCACTTTAGAAGTTCAGATAAATTCTTCAGAAGACAGATACCATAAATGAATAAATTTACTAAGCACAAGATGGTGACTTATTACATTAGTCTGAGCCCCTTAGTCCATGTCTTAGAAACAGTTTTGTTTTTATTTTTTGTTTTATTTATTTTTGGGGGGGTACTGGGGATCGAACTCAGGTCCTTCTGCTTGCGAGGCAGGCGGCGGAACCACTGAGCTAAATCCCTGGCCTGAATTTTTTTATTTTTAAAAACAAAACTGTGGGTCAGGGATTTAGCTCAGTGGTTCCCACCACCTGCCTCGCAAGCACAAGGTCCCAAGTTTGATCCCCGGTACCAAAAAAAAAAAAAAACTCACCTAAAAATTTAAAAATTCAACAAGAAAACCAGGGCTGCAACAAAGAATATCAAATCCATAAATCATGGATTTAGAAGAACTCCTCAAACTTTTATCATCATATAAACTATTCACAATACATATAATACACACAAATCCAAGTTATAATGTTCAGTATTAATGAAGTAATGATTTTTTTTTTTTTGTACTGGGGATCGAACTCAAGACCTTGCGCTTGCGAGGCAGGTGACAGAACCACTGAGCTAAATCCCAGCCTGAAGTAATGATGTTTTGTTTTGGTTTGGGTTGGGTTTTTTTTGGTACTGGGGATTGAATTCTGGACCTTGCACTTGTGAGGCAGGCAGCGGAACCACTGAGCTAAATCCCCAGCCCCAAAGTAATGATTTTTTAAAAACACTATCCTATGATTCATGGTGTGAAATGATTTCACGTCCAACTTCTGAAAAATAGAAAATAGGAGACTTCTTGCCACAAACATTGTTTTCATATTTTTTTTCTATTTACAATATTTGCTTTCCTGTCTAAGACTACCCTTCCACCTGTGTTCTGGATCTCCCATCCTACCTACTGTGTGGAGAGAGACCTTGAGAGCCACCATATACTCCTCTACCTTGTCTCTGTGAGCATTTAAACCTACTCAAGTCCTATGCAAACTTCCTCTAGCCACCTATTCTTTTTCATAATTAAACTTCTTCAAAGAACTGTCAATGGTACTTTCCGACTTCACTTCTTTACCTCCCACTAATTCCTCAATCCACCACAGCCACCTAATCTGCTTCGCCAAAGCCCCAGTGACATCATTATCAAATACATCCAATGGATCTGTTTAACAACACATTCACAAAGGGCATAAAACTCATTCATTCTGTGTTCTTTGCCAGATCTTTTTATACTCCATCCATAAAAGCTGAGGTTCTTTAGGGTTTTGCCCTAGGTCCTCTTCTTTTGCTCTATAACTTGAGGTATTCAGATGCACATTTTTGTTAACTCTAGAATCATATATAAATTGCTATCATTATGTGTACTTTTCTGGAAAGAAAATTCACATCTTTCCTGTGAGTTCACATCTAATATACTAACAAAACTCTTCCTCTGAATATAAATTTTAAGAAGCACTTTTCCATATGTTCTCTTAGGTCTTTATCATTTACTCTATAGTTACAATGACACCTAAGTCTGTAAAATCCAGCTCTTAGTTGTCTCTTGAACACCATGTCTACAAAACTAAATATGCTTCCAAAATGTAATCATCATATTCCTTTTGCCCCCAAACCTGTTCTTTTTCCAGTTTACTTTCCTTCAATAAATGACCTTGTTTGCCACTCTATGGCCCAAGTCAAAAATTTCATAGCAACCTTCACTATCCCTCTCCCTCCTGGATCTTTGGCAACTACCAATTTTAATCAATGCTATCTGTGAAACATACTTCATCTGTCCCCTTCTCTCAGTACCTGTGCCACCACCTTGGTACAAGGTATTATAAATTACTGTCAAGATAATTACAACAGCCTCCTAATTAGTCCCCCACTTCAAAAATCTCACCTCCCTTCAATTCTCCACATTGGACCTAGAAGGATCTTTAAAAAAATCTGATTACATCCTTCTATCCAAGAAAGGCATCGTTTCATACACCTGTATTCCATTATTTTGTTACAAGCGTATACTTCCAGCACTCTCGGAGGCTTAGGCAAGAAGACTGCAAATCGGAGTTCATTCTGGGAACTTAGTGACTTAGTAATACTCTGGCTCAAAAATTTTTAAAAAGGGATGGGGATGTAGCTCAGTGCAAAAGCCTTGGATACCATCCCTAGTAAAAAGCAAAGCTTTTTTCTCCATCCTTTTTTTGCTTGTTTTGGTTTTTTGGTTCGTTTGGGGGGGTGGGGGTAGTACCAGAAATCAAACTCACGGCCTCACACTTGCCAGGCAGGCGCTGTGCCACTGAGCTACATTTCCAGCCCTTGTTTTGTCTTTTTGAGATAGGTTCTCTCTATGTAGGCCAGAGTGGCCTCAAACTCCAGATCTTCCTGCCTCAGCCTCCTAAGTGCTGGGATTACAAGTGTCCACCACAATACCCAGCTTTCTCCCATCCATAAAGGTCTTCTGGCCCAAACTAATATTGCCTTTAATGCCCTGCAATCCCTGCTTACCTCTCTAACCTCATTTTTCATCACCACAACTCCCCTCCAAGCCCCTAAGTTTAAGATCTAGCCATACTAAACTTTCTCAAAGGTACTCTCTCACATGACCCCAGCCTCAAAATTCTCCCCTGGCTTCTTCATCCACTCATCTTTTACATCTCAAAAGGGAAGGGCCAGTGATTTAGGTCAGTGGCACTGCGACTGCCTTGTAAGCACAACGTCCTGAGTTCGATCCCTGGTACCAAAAAAAAGGGAGGGGGAAGGAAGCCGCACAGCAAAGAAAACCAACAACAGAGTGAAGAGACAACTCACAGAGTGTGAAAAAAATCTGTACCTCCTCAGACAAAGGACTAATATCTAGAATATACAAAGAACTCAAAAAAATCCAATCTCCCAAATTTAAAGACCCAATCCAAAAATAGGCATCTCAAAGACACTTCTCAGATGT